AGAAAGAAGGGGGGAGAAAGAAGGGGGGAGAAAGAAGGGGGGAGAAAGAAGGGGGGAGAAAGAAGGGGGGAGAAAGAAGGGGGGAGAAAGAAGGGGGGAGAAAGAAGGGGGGAGAAAGAAGGGGGGAGAAAGAAGGGGGGAGAAAGAAGGGGGGAGAAAGAAGGGGGGAGAAAGAAGGGGGGAGAAAGAAGGGGGGAGAAAGAAGGGGGGAGAAAGAAGGGGGGAGAAAGAAGGGGGGAGAAAGAAGGGGGGAGAAAGAAGGGGGGAGAAAGAAGGGGGGAGAAAGAAGGGGGGAGAAAGAAGGGGGGAGAAAGAAGGGGGGAGAAAGAAGGGGGGAGAAAGAAGGGGGGAGAAAGAAGGGGGGAGAAAGAAGGGGGGAGAAAGAAGGGGGGAGAAAGAAGGGGGGAGAAAGAAGGGGGGAGAAAGAAGGGGGGAGAAAGAAGGGGGGAGAAAGAAGGGGGGAGAAAGAAGGGGGGAGAAAGAAGGGGGGAGAAAGAAGGGGGGAGAAAGAAGGGGGGAGAAAGAAGGGGGGAGAAAGAAGGGGGGAGAAAGAAGGGGGGAGAAAGAAGGGGGGAGAAAGAAGGGGGGAGAAAGAAGGGGGGAGAAAGAAGGGGGGAGAAAGAAGGGGGGAGAAAGAAGGGGGGAGAAAGAAGGGGGGAGAAAGAAGGGGGGAGAAAGAAGGGGGGAGAAAGAAGGGGGGAGAAAGAAGGGGGGAGAAAGAAGGGGGGAGAAAGAAGGGGGGAGAAAGAAGGGGGGAGAAAGAAGGGGGGAGAAAGAAGGGGGGAGAAAGAAGGGGGGAGAAAGAAGGGGGGAGAAAGAAGGGGGGAGAAAGAAGGGGGGAGAAAGAAGGGGGGAGAAAGAAGGGGGGAGAAAGAAGGGGGGAGAAAGAAGGGGGGAGAAAGAAGGGGGGAGAAAGAAGGGGGGAGAAAGAAGGGGGGAGAAAGAAGGGGGGAGAAAGAAGGGGGGAGAAAGAAGGGGGGAGAAAGAAGGGGGGAGAAAGAAGGGGGGAGAAAGAAGGGGGGAGAAAGAAGGGGGGAGAAAGAAGGGGGGAGAAAGAAGGGGGGAGAAAGAAGGGGGGAGAAGAAGGGAGGAGAGATGCTTCCTTAAGTCTTCCACAAATTGAAATATCGAGTAGTTTGACTCAGAGAGCAAATTTTTACTGTCAACACTGACAAAAAGAAAATAAAACACATGCAACACCTCTCTTTTCAAGAATGTGTGCACACAAGAACTTGCACTTCCATGAAGAAGTTCACAGAAGAGAAATGGCAAGCAACATTCACAGCCTTTTGGAGGGAAGGCCAAAAAACATGAGCTAAGTCAAATGTTCAAGGACAGTGCTACTGCTCTCATCGAGTCAGTCTCTCTTTGGACTTAGTCCTGCCTTTGGTGTTCAGTCAGTTATTGCAAACATAACAACCAGAAGAATCTGGCATCAGAATCTGGAAAATTCCTCAAACAAGCAAAGATCATAAATATAGTTTTCTCCTGTAGGAACAGATCTTATTAGTCAGACAACCATCAAGACATAGAAAATGCACATCTCATGTTTGTAATATCAAACAAGTTTCCAAAAGATAAACTATGCTGTAGGTTTATGGCGAGTCAATTAGTCCACGCTTTAAGACCTGGTAATACTAGTCTGATCTTTTCTAAAGCCTTTCTCCTTTTGATGAGTAAGGCTGCCTATAAGGTATTTCCCACTCTATCTGAGAATCTCTTCAACTTCTCTGAAACCACCCTTGCCCATGACACTTGACCAGCTATCACCTTCCATTCTAGATGCAATAGTTTTGGGCCTAGCTAGTGATGACCATCTGAAATCTCAACTAGACAGCTGTGGAGGCAACTGAATGGGCCTCTGCAGCAATAGATAATTCAGATTTTTCTCAGTAAACAAGAGTGACTTTTGATAGCATCCCACAGGACTAGAAAAATCAACAGGAAAACATATAGGAGGCTCTGATTTCAGAAAAGGCATAAGGCAGAGTCAGTATTAGAAATACAACACTTGGTGAACACTGTATCATGAGAGTTTACTGCTCAGGAAGTCTCACAGCTTGTTGTCAACTCTCCGAAAGTGCAAATTATAATCCCACACCCAAAACTGGATGGCTATGGTTGCTGCCTAGCAGCTAAATGATCAGTTTTGTCAATCTAAAATCCCTAACAAGTTTGTGGCATCTTTATTTAGGAAGAGAGCACAGAGTGGCTCTCAAATTCATGGAATATTTTAATGCTATGAAATGAGAAATGTAATTAAGGACTTGTAAAGCAGTGGGTGAACATGTAACTACTGCACAATTCTTGGTGCTGCATGTGAGTGTTTTCAAACATCATCACATAAATAAAAACCTATACATGACCAAACACCTTAAAATAATGTACTTCCATTTCTATCAACTTTGATGCTAAGCTAAAGCAGCTACTGACACAACCTGAAGGAAGGCCATCGTTCCTGATCTGGAATCAGTGGAAATTCTTATGACTACCATCACCTGTACTGAGATCAGAGATGACTTTTAGTGTAGCCATCCAAGACTGAAAAAAGTTTATTCTACTTTTATTACCGTTCTCTCCTAGATTCTGCCTCTGATTAAGTAGTTGCTCCTCCAGTGATAATTGTAATGTTCAGTGTTAGTACCTGAGCTACTGTGATGCAGACAATTCCAGAACACTATAGCTGCATTCCCACAGCAAAACTCAAGAACTTTTTCTGGCCCATCTGAATATCTGCATTCTTCAAATCAAGAAAGGGTTGTAAACAGGCATAGGGGAGAGCAAGTATTACCACCTAAATTAAGCGCTGTTATTTTTGGAGGTTACTCCAAACTTGGAAGAACTTTGAAGACCTTTTATGCTTCCATTAAACATGCCATATTTACCTCTGTGAAGATGCTCTGTGTGTGCAGTAAAGAATAACACATATAATAAATAACATCTTTCCTGGGCAGGCACTTCACTATGAAGGCAGAACAGTGACCACTACCTTCACTGAAATTAGTTTGATATGCTTTTAAAAAGGAACTGGGGTTTAAATCCCCACAGGCCATGAGATGTGCACCCACAGGCTGACAGTAAGCCTGCCTTTCAGCAGACAACTCTTCACCTTTGCTTGTTGTTTAAAATAGCTCTGGCTCTTCGACCAGTGTGTCCTCTAGGATGCATCACTCCTCCACAATGCTACATCTTTTGCAGGTGTTCTAAACAACCCCACTGAAGTGTTAGATTTATCTGTGGCTGCCTATAAAAGTGACTATCATCCAAGATTTTTTAGTTTTATTTAACGTCACACAGACTCGACAACCCCCCTCACCCTTGTGTCATTTTAAAAAATGGAGCTGGAACAAAAAAATACATGTTTGGAGGACAAAACAGATATATTTTTGTGCTTTGACTCTCATTACTAGAACAAATTTAACCAGCAGATGTCCCCAACAATCCCACTGTAGTATTAAGATTTAACTGTGTCTGCATTAGAACAGAGGCCATTGCTACCAAAGCAATTTGTGCTGCTGTCATCAATATTTGCTGTATTGAGGCCTTCAACGTCTTCTCTCGAATGTTGACCTGAATAATGTCTTGCTGATAGTTACATTTTAAAAGTTAACCTTGTCATATATAATATTTTATCCTAAAAACCCACAAAAGTTTTTGAATGCCGTTTATGAGCCCAGCATGAGTGTGCTTTTCCTCATCTAGCTCATTATTTTTCTCATTCTTGCTGCTGAGGTGTAATTTGAAATGAAAGGCAAATATGATTTTTCTTCCATCCCAGAACTTAATTTCAAAATAGTATGCAAATACAAAATAGGAAGCCAGAATTCTAGCAAGTATTAGAGAACTTTCTCCTAAATGCTTCAGAAAGCATTGGTATCAAGAGTTAAAAATCTCTGCAATTTTTTACACAAGACTTTGACTACGTCTAAAGTGTCATGAATTAATGCCAGTAATATCTTGTTCTGTTAGCTCAAAATGCCTGCTTACATCTCTCTCTTTAGGTTTAACTAAACAGTACAATATTTTGGCAATTAACTGTAATCATTTTTTCTAGGAGCTTCACAAACTAAGCTTCAGATACAACTACCCTTTCCAGATCTTCAGAAATGTCACCAACCCTCCAGGTGTCGTGAGAGAGAACTGCAGATTGTTCACAGGTGGTTTGAGCCAGTTCTGTAAGGTCCCAGGGTAAATTTCATCAGTTGCAGCCAAACTGGACAACTCACAATGATACAAAAGGGACCATGTTTTATGCTAAGTTTGGGGAAATGTAACTTCAGCCAATACTCAGCAAACAGACATAGTGTGGTAAAAACCAATAAAATGATCATATTTGTAATTCTTTTCTCTGTGTTACACATAAAGAACCTGGTTTTGCTTTGTGTATGTTCACCTTTGTGAAATTCAATCATAGACTACTGGGTAAAAAAGTACCTCATTGAAAAAGTGCACGTTTTATGCACATTTAATGCTTCTAAATGAAGCAAAAAAGCCTCACTGAAACACTGTCAGTCCAAACAACATTTAAGTTCTTTTATACCGGAACTTTCAAGAAAATACTATATTTTATAAAATAAAATAAAATTCTATAAAATAAAACTATAAAATTCTATAGCACTAGGATGTGGTGGTGACAGTTAACAGAACAAATACCAATAAAACATATTTGGTGAAACAGTGACAGCATTAAGTAATTTCCCCCACATTTTTGTGCAACTGAATAAACATATAATTCAGTCAAGGAGACTTCCAAGGAGTGTTGAGTTCCAACAGTGGCTGAAGAGAGATCATATGATGAGTTTCAGGCTTACATAGAAGGAAGCATGAATGAGCATTTCAGGATTTCTGTCCTCCCCCAGCCTTTTAGCACATAACAGCAGCTGCTGTATGTGCTCCCTTATTCTGAATGTGGCATCTAATACACTTGCCACTGATAGACACAATTGCCTTATGAGACATACATACCCAGCACCACCTACTTTCATATGAGAATCAAAGAACAGGGATCTCTCCTACCTTTGTCTGTTCGGGCAATCAAAAGATCCAGAGCTTCTAACACATGCATCTGCTTTATTTGGAGAGTTTTATCAAATACTTGCACTGATGGTTGACCATCTGAAAAAGAAACACACAGATTTATTCGAAATCCTGCTAAAATTCACTAAGTGCTGGTTTTGACCTATTTCTTTCTTGTAATAAAAGCCCTGGGTTTTTCTTAAAAAAATGAAAAAAGCTGGCCAAAGCTACTATGTATACAACAGCATCATAGCCAATGCTTCCTCATGGGAGAGTTTTATCATTGCCATAGATCAGATTATGCAACTGAAGCCTAAACAGGACCTTACTCTGGAAAAATTTGGGAATTACCACTGAGAACTAACTTCATTCCCTCAATCCTGCTGGCATTATGTGGAACACAGAAGATCAAACTAGTTATATCATTGCTATGGAAGAAGCAAGCTTTCACCATCGCACAAGCCTTTGACTTCACATCCACTATCATCAAGGGCTAAGAAATCCAGATAAGCCATTTAAACATTTCTTGAGCTTGGATGTGACTTCACAGGTCTTTTCAGATGGTCAAGAAAACAACATCTGAAATAACAAAACATTCAGAAATCTGCATTAACATTGGCTCCCCGATATGGCTTGATTCTGGTGCAGAGAGAATCTCTGCAACTGCGTTGCACAAATGTAGTAATACTTGGATTGGTAACTATCCCTCTAAGCGAAGACCTACCAACACCTGAACAGACCTTAAGAACACACATTTTCAAGAAAATGGTCAGATACATAAAAATTGACACAAAACCACTGGATCATTTACTAACCATCTATTAACAAGATGCCAGCATCTGTAGAAACCAGCAAGGACTGGCCCCAAGAATCTGCGCAGATAATCTCATGAGGAAAATTACTGCAGAAAGACTGGGATTCCCAAGGCTATGAAGTAACATATGGGGTATATATTAAGTACACTAAGAAATACAGATCATACAGACACAGAATGTGATGTACAAGTAATAACATGTAAAAGCTTCTGACAGGATACATTTCCAAACAGTTTATTTTTTAAATTTGACATATCAAAATTTAGTTAATTTTCTTTTTTTTCTCTCCATATTAATTGTGGAGACTAGTAAGTGTAAGACACATTTCTGAAACACCGGATAAAACACATGCAGCTGATACTCACTGAAACCCTGGAAATACCCAATATGTATTTTATTTAAAAAAACCCTTTAGACTTAAAATCATCATGTATATGCAATATGCTTACATTCCATGGCTCAGTTTGTGATGTTTAGTCACTAGTATAAAGTACAAGTTAAAACTGCCCTTCTGCCAAATTGTTCTTTTGTGACATGTTCTCTGTACTTACCTCCCAGAGTCTGCCCCTTCTCCCTCAATGTAAGTATTAGCTGAGCTCTCTGAAATTCTAGAAGCACTTCTGAAGCTTCTGTATGTAAGATGCATGTAGAAGAGTAGTTTGCACCTTTCATTCCTAATGCCCTTGAACAAAATCTGATATTACAGAGAATAAAAACACAACTGATTTTTGTTTTAAGCTTGATGCAGAAGTTAATATAAAAAATGATTGCATCCAGAAAACACATTTTCATCAAATATTCTCAGATATAAAAATATCTATGCTTGCTTTAACTTGAGAAGTGCTTCTGCCTCCAGGCTCATCCTTTATTAATTTGATATCAGCTGCAGAGTTGCTTTAACACTATGCATTTAATCTTTGCTGCTACAGCATCTGATTATAAAAGTAAATAAACAGTATGCAGAACTGACATGCGGTGCTATACTCAACAGTGTATACTTTTTTCACAGCTCTCCTCAGACAGATGGGTTCACTCACCTCCTTTTTACAAAAGCTTGTGGTTGCCAAGTTAGCTGTGGCCTCCCCTTTCACAGTGGTTTTCAATTTCAATGCCTAATACAAACAGATACAAATTCAAACCACTAACTCAAACTATTTTTATCTATCTATCTATCTATCTATCTATCTATCTATCTATCTATCTATCTATCTATCTATATATATATATATACACACACACATTGCCAGGGCTGCCAAGGACACACAGTGACAATATCACAAATTCTTCAACTAGAAGTAACTAGGAGCTGACTGTAAGGGCTGAGAACTCCACAGAAATACCGTATAAACATGGTTTCAGTAAGATACACAGTAACTCTGTTTAAGGTACCCTATATACCTTCATTGGTAATCCTTACAGCAGCATTCCTATAAAGTGATGACACATGGAATTGCTACAGCATTCTTTCATGCAAAGTTTAGAAATTACCTAAACCAATTTTGCTGCCCTAAAGTTTGTCTACCGTCATACGTGGTCTTTGTGCAGTGGCAGTAATCAGCTGTATGTACCATCTGCACCTCTGCATTAAGCATGGCTGTCACTTTACAGAGATGCATGAAATAGATTAACATTTTAGTTTCATCCCACCAGTCAGTAGAGATCACCCTGATGATAAACAAATGATTTAAATATACTGTTGAATCAGTCAATGAGTTTTATTTATCTAAAAACTCAACAGACTATAACTCAGGGACAGATACATTCACAGAGTTTGTAACTTAGTTTGTAACTTAGAAGAAAGTTCTTTTAGGGAAGAGAAAGATTTTAAAGGGAAACGAACCTCCCAGAAAAACGCAAATGGGTATCTATGAATTTTTATCCCACATATTAGGTCTCCCTCCAATGAAGCCCATGCCAGGGATGGAAGTCTTGTTTAAGAAATGGGCCCCAACTCCATTTGTTATGCGAGTATCTTACTGGCATTTAAGAGGTGGAGGGGATCAAGCTTATAGGTTTCTATACTTCCAATAACCACGTTTTTCTTTAACCTCTGTAAAGTAATTAGTAAACTTGGGGAATAAATTGTCTGTTACTTCTGTCTGAATATTACAAACACATTGACTCTTTTTTTTTTTTTAAACACCTGCATAGAATGAATAGCTATTTCAAGGTGGTTGGGGAAAGGGTGGGCAAAACACAGCCCAGCTAATGCAAGCTTTAACAGCCCCTAGGTTCTTTTGCACCATCTCTCAACCACCTGCATCTATTCTCTATCTTTAACAGGATCTGGAACTTCTCAGTTTAGGAGGTTGCAGAGAACTGGGGATGAACCAAGTAATAAGAGATAGGACAAGAGGGAATGGCCTCAAGCTGCGCCAAGGAAGGTTTAGACTAGATATGAGGAAGCATTTCTTTCCAGAAGGGGTTGTTGGGCGTTGGAATGGGTTGCCCAGGGAGGTGGTGGAGTCCCCATCCCTGGAGGGGTTTAAGAGTAGAGTCGACATAGCACTGAGGGATCTGGCAGAGTTGGGAACTGTCAGTGTTGGGTTAATGGTTGGACTGGATGATCTTCAAGGTCTTTTCCAACCTAGGCGATTCTGTGATTCAAATCTCCCACTCAGTAGTTTACTAACTCAGATTAAAAAATTGGAGGGAAGGGAGGCTTGGAGTTTTTTTTCTGGTGGTGTGGGGTTTTTGTTTGTTTTGTTTCATTTTTTTCTGTTTGGTTTCCTGCTCTGTTAACTCTTGCTGAGTTAAATCATCTCAGAAAAGAGGGATTAAGGTAAGCAGCAGAACCATGTCACTAGTCCAGGATCAAGAAGAGACAAGTGGGAAGGGTCAGGGGAACTGATGAGCGTAGACACTGTCTTTTTTTCTGCTGCCATGAACTGTCAGATCAAACCAGACTATCTAAATCATCAGGAAGTTTTACTCTTCACTGAATCAAAATGTCAGTAAGCCTATAGAAGATTGAAAGTCAGTGGCTGGTATGTTCAAAGATGTACAGCAACCTCTGATTTAGCAGAAAAAAATGTCAAAATTGGTTCCTGGCTGAAGTAGGGTAAATAATTTCTAAGAAATTAAATCTTGATAACGCAGATAGAGGAAATCCATGAAAGATTATGTTTCTTCAAAGCACAGAAAAAGACAGAGCACTCTTTTGCTTGAAGACAGAAAGCATCTGCTGCACGAAGCAGGGAAAGACCTTCTAGGTTTGATTCTAAAGTGTGATTTTTCCAACCTCCCTTTAGCTTATGTATTTTATAAATATTTATAATTGTGCTGTGTACCTCAGGTGTTACAAATACTTTTATTCGTATTTTAGTTTAACATAGCTGAAACTAATGCAATACTACAAAACTACTTCTGACCACAAAGAACTGCATTAAGTCCTGACATAACTCTGCAAATTGGTCAAATTATAACAAAAGGGGTGACGCAGTCTTTGTAAACGTAGGTGTATATCTCCTAAATTGATCCTACCTGACCAAGTCGGACAAACTCTGCTTGCCGAGCTTCCTCTTTTTTCCGCGTTGATTTTGGGGACTCTGGTAGCACATCGCTGAAGGACCTTCTATTGAGCATGTTCTAAACCAGAAAATGCTTCTTTTTGAAACTGAACCATAAGTTTTCATAATCATTTAAAGTGAGTTAACTTAATGCAGTATCATTTAATTTTTTTTTTTTTTAATATTTTCCTGTAGCAATGAATCTAACTGGATAGCTTCTCAGAGAACAGAAACTACAACTCTTCCAATCCGTGAGCGCTTTCCTTTCCAACTTGTCATAGTTTATCACTGTCATGTTTTATACAATCACAACGAAGACTGCAGATATGAATATATAGACAAAACAGTTTAAGTAGCTCTATTTAGCTAAGAGAAATAAACAGTGGGAGAAAAATAGCACCTCACTTATTTTAGAAGTATTGAACTACTTTTTAGTTAAGAATCACCTTAAGAATGTCTTCATCATCTAAAATGAAATTATCTCATTGTTACCCAATGGTAAAAATGATCCAAATTTACACATAACGGAACGAGTGCAGTTTTTATGGTGACAAGACTAATACCTGTATTTGCAGAGCTAAAATTTCCTATTCCCTTGCTGGAGGCAAGCCTATACAAAGCATGACATTGTTATGCTTCTCCTCACACCTGGTTTAAACAAATGCAGGAAGAGTGCCATCCAAGAGGGACTTTCTGTCAGCTTTCATAAAACAGTAAAACAAGTTATATGACACTTGGTATTTAGTCTAGTGTCTGCAATTCAATGCTCACTGGTATTACAGTCTTTTAAAGCAACAGAACATTCAATCTACTAGTGAGAACTGGAGAGCACATGTGAGGGATGCAGAGACTTCTGACTTACATTTACCTTGTGTAGATCAGGCATCAGGTCTTGGTATAAAGAGCGGATCAGCATGTCTAGAGTGCGTTGACGTTTCTGAGAAAATGTTGGGGTTTCTAAGGTGGCTTTTTCCCCATTTATTACTGAAATATTATGGAAAAGAAGTTACATTACCTAAATAAACTCTGACAACTTTGACTGATTCTAGTTTGCCACTGTACAAAAATACCCGTTTACCCCTTAGTAATTTAGAGTCGCCTCCTTTCTGAATGTTTTTAGCGAATAATGCTCACTTAAGCTTAAAAGAGGAGAATTCTACAAGGCATCCCAATAACCTCCTAACTAATAAAAAAATTCAAGACAAACTGCTAATGAATTTAAGTACTAAACCAATGTAAATATGCAAAATGAGTTACTAGTAAAGTTCCTGTCAGGTAAGCATCTAACTGTAATCATCACCATCGGTTCTTAGATTTCCAATTCTTTCCATTGATCTAGAAGGGCAAGTAAGGGTCAATGAAAACTGGAACTGAAACATCACAGAATTTAAAAGTTCTTAAAGGTGCTGAAAGACACCTGTGCAGTATGCATACAAAAAAGCTTATATTTTCAGGCTTTCAGAGCAGCTAACCTAAGACATTCTATCACTAAATATCGAACAGCATTATATATTTCCAGATCTCCAAGTCCTTTAAGAAAATGTAAAGCTAAATATGGCTGCACGGTCTGCAAATGTAATAAGCCAGTTTGTATTTAGTAGCCTGAAAAACATAATTGCATAGAAATTCAGTTTTTTGTCCATCTGACTGGAAGAGTTTGATGGAACTGACATCTCACCTATGCTACAGATTTGAAAAAAAATATATACAGAACAGCAGCATACACAAGAAAATGTGTTTACATTTTAAGTATCAAGAATTTCAATTTATTTTAAAAAGTGTTTCCAGAAAAAGAAAAACTGACTTACATTTCACTAACACAAAATCCCTGAATTCCTGGTGATTTGTAAACACAGGTGGGGATGGAAGGGGAGGCCCAAAAAGAGGAACACTTTCTTCTGAAAATATTTTCAGCCTGTTGAAAGAACAAATCTTTATTTATATTGAAAGTCTCATTCAAAACCCACCATTTTAATATACACTATTCAAAACAGAAGGAAGAACTGGAACCTGTTATCTAGGTATGTCTTTAAGACAAGTAAACTCCCACACATCTAACAAAAGTAAACTTTAAGTAAAAACTCCCACACATCTAACAAAAAACATTGATTTGGAATTATTCATTAGAGTAAAATTCTACTGCCTTTACACAAACTAACACTGGGAAACTAACAATTACAACAGAACTTTGCAGTTCTACCCACAGAACAATGCTCTCAGTGGCACTAGCAAAATCTAGTCCTTTTCAAAAATGCTGTAAAAGAACAGTTCTTCACCTACAAAATACATTCTCCTTATAGATTTCCATCTTAACTATGCATTCATCACACGTATGAAATATTGGACTCTTTTTGAATAACAACAGCCTACTACAGCTGAATCTGTATCTCAGGAAATAGTGAATTCATTTTCACTGAGGAAAAAGAGTCAGAATGACTTCCATGACAGCTGGACCTGCTGAGCTCTTTCGGTCCATAAGGAATCCAGCATAGCAAGAACAAACAGCAGGTACAAAACCCGTGCATACAACATGCTCAGCAAGCCATAGCTTCTTTAAGGTAAGTAATCATTCCTTGGTATTTCAAGTGACAGTCTGCACAATTTTCTTCACTGTAAGACAACAGTCAGAAAAAGGTGAAGGGACAGAAAGAAGTGTAATTAGGCCAAGAAGAAATACACAATAACGTATTAAACCTGTCACATACTGCATGGTAGCACTATGGGAAAATGTGTTAAGATGGGCAGAATGAAGCAACTGGACTGTTCTAGTAAAAGCAGTCAGTTATTCAGAGCATGAGAGACAAATTTATCTTATTTACTGCAACTCATTTTTTCCCAAATAAACAACAATGGAAAAAGCATTTAGCCCGTATACTATTAGCTAACGATGAGGACAATGTTCACTTCTTAAAGGCTAATGAGGGATGTGTGCCCAGGTTTCTCTCCCAGAACAAGAAAAGGAGGAAAGAAGTAACTGAGATTTCACTGCATACTGGAATCATGAACATGTTTTGTGCCTCTCACAAACGTGGGAATGCTGAAAAGCAGTTATCTATAAGAACAATCAATTGGGGGAAAAAAAGCAAGAAGGTGCTCAAAAAATCTTAAGAGCCAAATAAAATTCTCCTTTTTTTAACTTCACTACAGACATTTTCCAAAATAAACCTTAGCTATAAATAAGAGGAGGGAAAGCCCCCCCTACATGTGCAAACTGAAGTATCAAACTGTTGGATTCTTCTCTGGAGCTAGATTTAATGGCATGCTGGAGAAACACAGTAATACAGATTTCTCTCATCTTACTAAATCAAGATTTAAGTTTCTTAGCTACACTGAAAAAGAAAGTTATTTCTACTGAAAAATTCTTTTGAGATGTACTAGTCCATACATCACCCCTGTGGACATACATGAACTTCAAGCACCCAAGTTTGTAGCCTTTCAACTCCTGGACATATTTAGCGTATATATGCTTTGCCTCATCTCATACTCCACATCAAGAGCCACAAGGATGATGTGAACCTTCTCCATCCACCATGCCCCAAAATAAAGATTCCCAAATATTAAAGGACTGTAATAAAAAGACAGGAGAAAGCACACATATTTATCACCAAGCTTTAAGAAATCTAGTTAATATTAATCCATTTGTTTCTCACCTTCACATTCTTGTGTATTTCTGCATTTGCACTGCAGATGATTTCAAGTAACATTCATAAGTGAGTAAGTGGAGTTGCAGTTGCACAAAAAGCACCTAACTCTTATTGCTAACAATCAAGTTCTGGAGCTAGGCAGGAAGGCTTAGTCACTCCTGTATATTTCAGATACAAAAAATACTAGTAATCTACATTGCAGCAAAACCAGATGACCATGAATACTGCTCAGCCTATAAAGCATAAGGAACTTCCACAGCAAGCTAGGATTTACACACGTTGGAATGGCTGGAACCACGTGATTGGATCTGAGCAGCAGTTTCTGAAACCATGCCCTGTGGCTGACATCAGTGGTCTGTACTGTGTACTGAGGGAGTGGCTAAAAGAATGCTTTCTACCCTTGTACTGTATTTCTTAGCTGTCAAAGAGGTACAGGTTATTAAAAAAAAGCACTGGTGCCAGGTGATCAGTTCAAGGGATGTTGCTGGTCTCTTTCACAATCTGAGTGCTCAGTTCTAGAACTGTCAAGGAAGAAGCAAAACTGATCTACTTAAGGACTCTATATTCCTGGAAGCCATTTCCAAGTTCAGATACTTTCTTTCCAGTACAAGCTAACTAGTAGTGTACATAGAGCTGACATAGTGCTGAGGGATCTGGTGGAGTTGGGACCTGTCAGTGTTAGGTTAGTGGTTGGACTAGGTGATCTTCAAGGTCTTTTCCAACCTAGACGATTCTGTGATTCAATACCTCAAAGGAGCAGACCCAATGCTTTCAACATTCAGCTTCATCCTTCAAATGTGGTGTAGAATGATTTGCAAATAGTTTAAAATTTCACAAAGTAATAACTAATGTCATGCAGGCTCACACAGCCATCAGAAATTTGCATTCAAAGCCTAACACTGACTTCACCCTTTCATCTTGTAAAGTTTTTAGCTTTGAGTGTGGTAGACACACACACATATATTCTGGTTTGAAGTAGCTTCATGCCCTGAAATTTCCTTTCTAGGGCTCGATAAACCAAACACTTTGGTTTCCTAATATAAATTCTTTAGCTATGAGAGACTTCACCATCTGAGCCGGCAATGATTTCAAACCTAACCAATCTTCTCCCCAGGCACATATCCAAAAGAGAATGCAATTCTCTCATTTCTTTTTGACCTTCTTTTGATTTTGACTAAGTAGTAAATGATTCAGCATACTTTCAATACAAGCAAGATCACTACAGACATTGCTAGTACTTTGTAAAGGAGTCATAACAGCAGAAAGTCTGTGTTGTATACTGAGAACTGCAGCACACACTGTTAGCTAAACAGTGGCTCTTTTATTTCTCTTTATTGCTTATTTGATTCTTCCTCCCATAGGCTCAGACAATGACATCCCACTGCCACTCTGCTTTTTCAAGACTGACAGATATCTCTGGCATCTCACCATTTATCTCAAGACAACAGTTGGGATTAACTATTTGTCTAAAGCCACTTAGTTCATTAAAGCCTAGCCACGAGGCTGGAGAAATCCTGCTTTTCAGATTCTGGCAAGACCTAACAGAGTTGGACAGCATATGCCTCCAAGTGTAAGGAGGACTAACTGAAAAACAGATGAAGAACACATTATTTACCAGCAACATTCCACTTGGGTTTAAGTGATGTCCAACTGTACTCTATTAAGTATAGAATAAAAGTATATAAAAAAAAATTAAGTATACAATAAAAGTACTCTATTAAGATCCCTAAAAATGAACTGGTTTGCTTAGCTACAACCGAACCCAGATGTGTAAGGATCTGCAGTTCATGCCTATCACAACATCACATCTAATTACCTTTCATCATACATGTAATCCACATGTTGATCTCACCAGGTCTGAATGTTCCAGGCATAGCTTCCATCATTTTGTTATATTTCATCTCAAAAGTAGTTTTGTTTTAACTCACTTAGCTTATGCCTGCTCCAGAATTTAATTTTTCTGATGGCTAGAAACATGCAACTTATTCATAGCCAGTTTACAGCCATCTGCATCCAGGTCCATATTGCTCTTCAGTTTCATAAATTCATTTGGCTTTCTGGCATAGAGACAGATGGACAATACAAAATGTTTTCCCGTTATCTCTAAACCATCAGAAATTGTCTGAAGTTATTTGTCATAATCAGCACCTACCTGTAACTATCATTCTGGTTATTATATCTCACTAAGGCAAAAATATCTGCCAAACAGTTAAGGAATTTAATCTAGTGCTAATGAAACTCACATGTATTTTAATATATTTTTTCCTGCAGCACATTGCAGATTTAATAAAGGTAAAATATATTAATCAATGTAAATATATAAAATATTCTAGACTGTAGACATTTTACTGTTTATAAAGGAGGACCCATACAAAATTTTACTGTTCGATCAAAAGTTTAAGAACTGAGCTAGTACCACAAATATAGACTTCTTGTCATTACATGAAGCATAAAATGTACTACATAGTTTTGTGGTTTGTGTGTGTGTTTGATAGAGTTGTGATCAGAAATTCTCTTAGTTGAAAACAATGTACTGATACTGAACTTCGCTTATATCAAAACTTCCACTGAAGAAAAGATTCCAATTAAATTAGTTGACAAAATTGTAAGAAAATAGAGAGTAAAAGTGCAAGTACAAAAAAATGTATTATCAGTCTTGATTCATAACTTAGGGCAAATCTCGGAAAAAGATCAAAGAAATCCTTGATTGTCTTGCAAGGTATTTTTATGGAATCGGTGAGAGGCTCCTTGCTTTGATAGATTTCCTTAACACCATCTCTAAGTTTTCAGCCCTTATAAACAGTGTCAAAGAAAGCCTAAGTCTGAATAACTTCACAGGCTGTACGGTTTTGTTCCAGATAAAATGAAGAGACCTTTGCCAATAGCTGTGATCAACACTATCAGACACTGCACAAGAAGACGACTTATGATGGGATTCAATTACTTCAACATAAGCACCCATTACTATTTAAGGTGCTTGAGAGTATATTGCCTAGTCTCCAGCTGCTAGTCCAAACAGGACACAGATCTTCTGTAGGCCCTGTGTCATATCTGACAGGCCTGTACAGACATTTCAGATATGCTCGCACATCTAAATTGGTGCTGGATGCCTTTATTTGGATAACTCAATCCTACCCCACAGACAACACATGGCAAACTCATAGAGCAGTTATCATCGCTGTGTAGGCCAGCACAGAGGAATATCTGTATGGTAATTTTTCCCACTGTAGAAGTAACAAAAAAGGGTTGGCTATATAGTATGTAGAAAGTGAGTGCAAAGCACTAGGACAGATTCAGTGAGCTTTAAGATTTACCACATCTGACACAGATCAGTGTCAACCCCCCAGTTTTCTTGCAGACACCTTTATCCCTGACTACTGTCAACTGAAAACATCAGGAAGGTGATATGGCTCCATCAATCAGCTGTGGACTATTTTAAATTACCTAAATGATAATACATCCTTACAGATTTAGGGCACATCTGCCCCTCCAACTCATTATGACACCAAGGACAGTTGAATCTCAAAATGTTGGGAGGAGGGGGTGGAGTGGATCAAAAAGAGTGGGGTGTATTAATTACATCATAACAAGTCCTCCTAACAGCAATAAGGGAATAATTACTCCTTTTTTTTACTAACGACACTCTGATGAAGGGTACATTGACTTCATAAACATTTCTTATTTAGCTTCCTCTGATATCTAAAGATTTATTTTTGTTGAAATTGTGGAATTCTTTCAGTTCTAGTCACTTCTTCCATATAGTGTAAAAGAGGTTAATATTAAGAGCTTAAATCTAAAAACTAAGATCATTCATGGACAAAACTAGCAAGAGAGTTCTAACAACATTTAGTCATCCCAAGAACTAGGTTTAGAATTTATAAGCTTTGTGATCATTTTTAGAAACTCAGCAACAGAGCAGAGATAGAAATAAAATTTCATCCTTTTTTCTTCATTCCATTCACTCTAGCCAGGAGATGCCAGATTGGGATCTATGGACCACTAGTGTGACCCCACGATGATCCCAAGTGATTAGCAGCTGGTTTTTGGAATCATATTGTCTTAACAATGTTTTCAACCAGAAGTTTGAAAAATACAGGCTGCCAAAAATCTGGAGAATATGCGATTTATGGTCTGAAAGATTTATGAAATACTGTTCTAAAATAAACAGCATCTAAACATTAAAATGCACTATTCAGTAGTTAATGTCAAACTAATCTACATCACTAACAGAAATATTTTAATTCACTTGTATTTTTTATATTAAAACGTATGAAATTTAATTTATGAAGTGATCAAAATAAATGCCTTCAATAAAAATACAGTTTAATCATATTCTTGCTTTGACCTTATCTTCTAAGTGTTTCAAAATAAAAATTGTTTTATGATGCAGTCTTAGAGACTCCTAGTCAAGCAGTTGAAGGTAAAGAATGCAAGAATGCAGCTGTCTTTCTAAAATAGTTTTGAATTCCATAAACAGCATGCAGGAAGAACTTAAGGTAGGATTGAAAGTAATACTGATCTTTTAGAAAAATAAAAAAAAACCTAGAAAATGTAAGGAAAAAGATACGTGTAAAATGAGAGCGAATCATGGATGGCTTGAATGCTGAAGAAGATTCTTCGCCTTCCTGAAATACGATAGTGACAATGTCATTTCCAATATGTCGCTTCCTTTCTACCTGGAAAAAAAAGGAAAAGAGGAAAAAAAAAAAGACAGACACAATGACTTAAAAGACATAAATACCTTCGTTCTGAGAGAATGGTAAAACAATATTCCTAAACAGCAAACAGAAAAATTACGGTCAATATGATTGAAGCCAATATAAAATTATTACTTAACTATAAGCAAGTAAGCCTGGCAATGCCACAATGGACACACAACGCAGCTGCTACTGCATATTTTTAAGTTAGCAAAACACTCGTAATTTATTTAACTTCCATAATCAATATTCACAAATTGGGCATTGAACACCTAGCATTGCAAAAAAGCAAATCCACCGCTTGAAATAAATGGAAAAACTCCTGATGCTGAGTTATGCTTTAAAAACAATAAATGTCCTGATTGGCCTCTGGTTTCTGCTGTGATCTTGTCATCAATCCAAGGCAAAAGCATGAGAAAACTGACACAAATAAAAAAGGACAATATAATTATATCATCTGATTATATTATTATAACAATATATAATATATAATTATTCCTTAAATAAGAAAATAGTAAAAGAAGTAATTTGTGAGTAATTTTAGGTAAATCATTAAGGATGTGTGATGTACAGGTAAATGCATGTGTTTATACAGTACTTTTTCCCTCATAGAATACAGAGAAAGATTCAAGCAATGGATGACAGCACATTTGAACAAGTACCCAAGAATCCACCTAGTCAAACTATGAGAGGACAACAGCAGGGCTTTAGAGCAAATGAAGAAAGTCTGCCATCACCATGCTCACAGGGGAAATTTCTTTCCACCTACACAAATTGCTACCGGAATACAAGTTGTGTGTTACATATGTGAGTATTCTGACAATTCGCATGCAAGTCTAATTTGCAGCCTTTCTAAATTCTTTGAGGTAATTATAATTGCAGCAGTGAAGTTCTACACATCATCTGAGTAACAGAATACTCAATCACTTCTCAGTCAGTCAATTTTTACCTTCTTCACAAGTGTCCTTTGTACCTTAATATAGATCACATGATACATTATCTTCCAACAAACATCATGAAGACTTCAGCATTAGGTATAATATTGAGGAAAAAATACAGCAAAAGTCTTAAGACTTATATTTCTAAATTATTAACAGGCAAGAAATCCCTTATTTTCTTTTAAAGATTTGGAGTTCATGATTTAATAAATAAATACATCTTAAAAAAAAAAAAAAAAAAAAAAAAAAA